ATTGTAAATTTTGGTCAATGACATGAGACAAAGTATATGTGAACTGCTGTATGAAAAGTGAATTTACTCTGTAAATCTTCACCCAAATCCTAAAAAATAAAAAAAGTAACCCTAAAATTTAAAAATGAAGGTTGGGCAATCCTACTTCCGTAGTGATACTGCCACGGGAACCCAAGGAGGGGTCGCTATGAGTCAGGGCTGACTCGACGGCACATAACAACAACAACAACAACAAAATTTAAAAATAGTATGTCTATCAGGTTGGTAGCATAACCATGTTACTTCAAGTGATTTCAGAACAGTATTTTGACTAGTTAACAAGGTGGGTGTTAAGGATTAAAAGAACCACAAAGAAATTTTAAGTAGCAATCATTGATCTTAGTAGTTACATCTGTATTGTTACATATATTGAACCCATTTTCTATATTACATGATAAAGGTAATAATTAAGTTGATATCACTGGGAGCTAAGATTTTCATGTAAAAGAAAGGGGACACGTATTGAAAAAGAAGTCCAAATCCTTAAATTAGAATTGGAAATACCAATATTAACTCAGCATTTTTAGCTTTTAAAAAGTACCCATTTCCTAGTAAGGCCCACCCAAAGTGCCTAAAAGCAATGGCAATTCAGTAGCAAAGAGCAAACACCTCCCCCACCCCTGTTCTTGGTCTCTAAACATTTTCTACTAAAAGGACCAGCCCACCCACTGCCATCAAGCTGATACTAACTCAGCAACCCTGTAAGACAGTAGAACTACCCCAACCAAGGCTGTAAATCTTAAAGAACCAGACTGCCTCAATTTTCTCCCATGAAGCAGCTGGTGGGTCAGACTCACTGACCTTTTGGATAATAGCCAAATGATTTAAACACTGTTTCACCAGAGCTCCTTTAAAAGAACTAAACCCAAAAGAAAACCAAATTTGCTGCCTTTGAGTCGATTCTGACGTAGTGACCCCCTTTGGGTTTCTAAGGCGGTAAATCTTTTTACCAAAGTAGATTGCCCAGTCTTCATCTGCGGAGTGGCTGGTGGTTTTGAACCACCAACCTTCTGGTTAGTAGTCAAATGTCCTAGGCACTGTGCCACCAGAGCTCCTAGGGACCCTTGAAAAAAATATTCGAGGCAGGAAATGTACATGATAAGATTGGATCATTTTGTGGCAGAAAGCAAGAAAGTATCAAATACTCTGTATTGAGTCAACAGGATACTGAGGCACTTCCGGGGTTCTTGGTAAAGGGACAATGAGCATCAAGAACCTAGTAGAGTGGATTGAAACACTGTATAAAAAGATCTACAAGTTCATGATAGTCAAGTCATTTATTGCCATTAGAACTTGCTAGAGGACCAATTCATTTACTCTAGTAATTGATAAAATCATTAAATTTATCTTGCCTTTCTTGTAAGAAATGTATTTCAGGAAATAATTGTTGATAACAGGAAGTTCCTTACAGAAAAATTCCAGGTGATGCAGAAAAAATAATAGAATTAGAAAATCAGCATTTCAACCCCTAATGAAATAAACACATCAGGTAACCACCATCAGTGATAAACAGGCTAAAACATTGGATGACAAGTTACTAATGGTAAATGTAGCCTGACCTCATGTAAACCCACTGATCAATCATCACTGAAAGTTGGACAAGACATAGTTCTTGATATGCTGTAACAGCACACAGCACCACCCTGTAAACATCCCTCCCTAAGAAACCACCTGCATCTACACAGGCCTCTGGATGTAACTACCAATTTACAGAAAATTTGGAGGACAGAGGAATATATTAGGACACAAGAAGAAGCAAATAACCAAATGTTGGCTATATATTCTATAGGAAAAAAGACCTGGTTCCAATAAATGAATGACATAAAGAAAAAAGAGTGGGGGTTTATAAACCAAAAGTGGTTTAAGAGAGCAACCAAATGAAATACATGGATGATGCTTAGCTGCAATGCAAACCAAAAGATTGGCTTGGGGGATGGAATAGAGGTGTCCTTTAAATGATATGCCAGAAATTAGCAGATTTATGGGTCTAGTTCCCAGCAGTTAACTGCTCAGCTGCTAACTGAAAGGTTAACAGTTCAAATCCACCTAGAAGATCTGCAGGAGACACATGACAATCGGCTCCGTAAACAGTACAGCCTGAGGAAACCCTATAGGGCAGTTCTACCCTGTCATATGGGGTCACTATGAATCAAAAAGTGGTATGATAGCAGCTAACAAGAAGAAGTTACTAGCTGAGATATTAATTAGAACATTTCTCTGGTAGCGTAGTGCTTAAGGTACTTGACTGCTAACCAGAAGGCTGGCAGTTCAAACCCACCAGCCACTCCTCAGAAAGAAGGTTGGCCAATCTTCTTCCGTAGGGATACGGCCTCAGAAACCCAAGGTGGGGTCGCTATGAGTTGGGTCCGACTCTGCTGCACACAACAAGAAGTTGGTAAGTTGTCATGTAACTATGAAGTATGAATCCAAGGTATATCACCATAATTTTCTCGTATAACTTCACCTTCCACTTGAGTTTCAGACTCTACTATCCAGGTGAATGTTAGACTTCTCCATCAAGATGATTCAGGCATCCCAAACATTGCTTACACACACTTGTGCCTTGGCTGCTACTGTTCCCTCTGCTAAGAGTCACTTCAGCCCTTGCCTCCTGATTTAAGTTTAGGTGTCATCTCCAGGAATCCTTTTCCAATGCTAAGTTAGGTGCTTCCATCCTGCTCCGTAGATACATTTACATTCTGACCCTCTGAACTTGTAGCTATTTGAGGCTGAAGACAGGGTGGGTGGACAGTCAATCATTCAGTGTTGAACTAGTGCCTGAGACAACCTCTTGCTGCTACTACCCTTACTAATTTCTATAATGGATGAAATAAACATGAATACAGGGAATATATGCTATTCCAACACAACCTTTTCTCTTTGGACAGATTTTTTTTCAGGAGCTTAAAGAGGCAATATAACATATTGTTCTAAGGGCCCTTGAAGATGGAACAAGAAGACACTGAGCAATTCTGCCTTTTGCTCAGCCATCACACAGAGAAGATGAGCAGGACATCAGCTTTACTTTCCAGCATCTGGTTTCTCTACTAAAAACAAAAAACTAATAATAGTAAGGTCATCTCTGCATGGGAGCCAGCCTAGTAAAAATTGCCATAGACAGAAGGAAATTTTCTTTGTTGGTTTCCAGGGACAGGAGGGGAAGGGACGAAAGGGAAAATTGCTAGATAGGTAAGAGACAAGTGTTGATTTGGGTGAAGAGAAAGGTAGTATACCAGAATAATAACGCTAAAGAAAAAGAAGGCATGGAGAGGTGCACAAGAGGTACAGACAACAAAGGTAAATACTTTCACATATACGATACTGCATTATCAGTGATAGTAAACATTAATCTATGGGAGGATACATAGGTAGACAAGCAAAATGATCGAGGTTGGTAGGCAGTGGGAATATACCCATGACCATATACAGGTTTGGCAGACAATGCTTCTACATACATATTTGTATGTGATGTAAGAATGTCCATATATAATAGAGCTAATGCGACAAAGTTATGATAACTTCTTAGCCACAGCCAAACACCTCAAGGGAGTGAGTGGCTGAGCCCACTGGCTTGGGACCATGGTCACAGGGGACATCAAGCTCAATTAGTATAATGTACTACACAAAAACATTGTTATACATCCCACTTTGGTGAGTAGTGATGAGTGTCTTAAAAGCTTGCAAGTGGCCACCTAAGATGCAAAAGTGGCCTCTCCTCATCGAGAGCAAAGAAGAATGAAGAAAATCAAAGCCACATGGAAACAATTAGTCCAAGGCATTAGTGGACTATGCAAACCTCAGCCTACATGAACCTGATACCAGAGCTAGATGGTTAGTGCTCAGCTATCACTGCCAACCACTGGAAAAGGCATCAGAACAGGTAATCCTGGATAGACTGGGAGAAAAATGTGGAACAAAACTCAAAATTATAAAAAAAAAAAAAAAAATATGAGAAATACTGGTCTGATAGAGACTGGTGAAACTCCCAGCACTAGGGCCCCTAGTGACCATGTAAGCCTGGAACTGAACTCACTCCTGTGCCTTCCAGTGAAATGACAGGGCTATAAGGTGAATAATTACACCAGGTAGATATAACAATCAACCACGGGAGATCAGAAGGGCATCATTTGGGCAGGGAGACAGGGTAGGCTTGCATAGGAAAGAAGGCATAGGGAGGAAATGGGAAGAGAGCCATAACATTATGGGGATTGCAATCAATGCAATGAAACAAAATTTGTATGAACTGTTGAGAATGAATTTGCTTTGTAAAATTTCACCCAAATCACAATTTAGAAAATAATAATTTTTAAGATTCAAAAGAAAAATTTGCTATAGATGAATTATATACATGTCAGATGTATTAACTATAAAATAAAGCTGTTTCTGAAATAATGCCCTTAAAAAAATAATGGCTGAAAGATTAAACCTGAAAGAAAAGGAAAGCATACAAAGCATATTTTCACAGAAAACGTTTTTATTATGCTACTCTTTGCACCATGTATGGCAACGTTATGTTTAATCTATAAATCCAAGAGAAAGGGTAACTCACTGACAGCCAGATTTCACTGACAGAATGAAACATCCAAATTTCTTCATTTAAATTTTAAAAGTAATTTATAGATAGCATCAGGCAGACTAGATTCCTCTACTACACCCCTATAAAAACTAGGTTTTTGCCTATCAGAAAAGTCTGTTGTTGGAACCAGCTTCCCTGCAAACTCAGTAGGTTCTGATTCTCATTTACCACATTGCTCGCTGGACCCCAGAAAGTTGCCCATGGTCAGCTAAGTGGCGGAAGACGATACGACTCAGCCTCCAGCGCCGCTTTACACCACGAGGACGGGACGTCATAACACAACGGTTTCTGATTCTAACGGGACAGCTATCCCGGGGAAGGGCAGCAATTTCTTCATCAGCTACTTCCTAAGGGAAAGCACAGCATTATTACACAGACCACTTGCATTTATTTATTCTAGCTGCTTAGTGCAATGTTCAGATAAAGAAGAGAAAGAGGGTTAGAGTCACTAATGTAGCCAGGCTTTGGCCCAAGGACCCTGGACACAGTAGTGAATTTTAACCTCTGAGTGGAAACAAACAGATCCCAAAGCTGCCAGAAATGTTTACCATACTCTTGATATAATGTTTTAAAAATTTAATCAAATTTAAGACCAGTATGTGATAATCCACAAATCAACAGTTTTCACCACAGAACACACCCTGTAGCCAGCACTCCATTTAGAAACAGAACATCATCAGCACCGCAAGCCCTCTCTGCCCCCCTCCCTTTCAGTTACTAATCTCCTGGGTAACAGCTAACCTGACTACTAACACCAGAGATGAGGTTTTTCTATTTTGAATTTTATATAAATGTATAACCATACAGTATGTATTCATTTTATTCATTTCTGTTTGGCTTCTTCATTCAACAATATGCATGGGAGATTTATCCATGTTGCTGCATGTGTTGTAAGCTGTTCATTCTCACTGGTGGTAATTTTACTGTGTGAATGGACTATAATTCATTTACCCATTCTACAGCTGAGGAACATATGGGTAGTTTCTAGTTTTGAGCTAATTATAAATAGTGCTGCTATATTCATTCTTGTTAAGTCATTGTTAGGATTAAATTGTGTCTCCTAAAAAAAGATATGTTGAACTTGTGAACATGATCTTGTTTGGAAATAGGCCTTTGAAGATGTTATCAGTGAAGCTAACATGAGATCACATCAAGTTCTAATTCAATCACTAGAATGTATTTATAAAAAAGGAACAGAAACACAGAGACAGACAGACAAAGGACAACGTGTGACTCAGCAGTTGCAAACCAAAGAGTGCCTGGAGCTGTGAGAATTGGGAGAGAGGCAAGGAACAGATTCTCCCTCACAGCCACACAAGGAAACGCAGCCAACAACTTTGATCTCGGAGTCCCAGACTCCAGAATTATAAGACAATATATTTCTGTTCTTATAAGCCATCTACTTGGTGGCATTTTGTTACAGGAGCCCTAGGAAATTAATACAGTCATTTAGAAAATATACAAATGCATTTTTGTTGTGTCCCAATATGATTTCTGAATCATGAAAGTTCAAAACCACTGGGCTAAAGGTCAAAAAGGAGGGAATGAGGCTTGAGACAAGACTGGAGAAGGAGGCAAGGGTAGGGTCATACAGCTCGGAAACCTACAGTTCTGAAGGCTGAAGTAAAGAGTATGACCAGATGAGATTTACCTTTGTAAAAGATGATTTGCAATACAGAGCATGACTCAGGGAGGGGCAAAAGTGGCTGAGAGTAGAAAAGTGGGGATTAGTATAGCAGCTTGGGCAAGAAATGCCAGTGGCTTAGGTTAGCATTTTTTTTTTTTTTTT